AAAAAAAAATAAACCTATCTTCACACAACAAATAGTAATGAAGATAGCTAGTTCACTAATAATATGTAAATTTCGAGTTAGGGGTGAGCGTGGGTCGGTACGGTTCGAAAATTGATAAATCTCCAAAACCGTACCAAACTTCGGAGATCCCAAAATTCGATCTCCGGAATCGCACCAAAAAGTCGGTTCGGATATTTTTTCCGGTTCGGTTCTCGGGACTATTGGGACGGTTCGGTTCGGTATGGTTTGGATCGGTCTTCAGAAATTTTTTATTTTTTTAAATTATTTTTGAATGACTACCTAGTTATATTTTAATTTTTATATGCTTTAAAAAAAACAACATTCATCAATAATTCATCATAAATATTTTATTTTGAAATCAATTCTGAATTAACTCTAAATTTTAGTTATTTAATTTTTATATGCTTTAATAAAATCAACATTCATCAGTACTTCCTCACATTAAAGATTTTATTTTGAAATCAACTTTATAAGTAACTCTAAATTTTAGTTATAACTAAATTTGTGCAACTAATATTGAAAATTTAAAATTTAAATAAAATATAATATTTTTTTTCTTAAAAAAATATTTTTTAAACTTTCATATTATTTTATAATAGAAAAAATTCAATTGTAGATCAAGTATTACTAAGCATGAAATTTAAGTGAAGCTTAATATTTATTACTATATTATATAGAATCAAAGTTAACATAAAATATACACATCTAATGTTATAATTCGGTTCTTAATTTCGTTTTTTCAGTTCGGTAAAGTACGGGACGGTTCGATTCGGTTCTCGGTACGGATATTTGTGAAATCTCCAAAACCGTACCAATTATTTTTTCGGTTCGGAGAAAGTCAAACGGTCAACGGTTATTTTTCGATTCGGAGTGATATCGATTCGGTTTTCGGAAAGGTTCGGAATTCTCCGAGTCCCAGCTTTACTTCGAGTATTACTATTTTGATTGATTGGGAGTATTATTTATGCCTCAATCAAAATTATGGTTCCGTGACACTTCAGTTTTGTGCGTAAGAGCTGAAAAGTTTACGTACTTATAAATTTTATGATTTTTCATGACGATTATTAGTTAGTGTTGTTAGTATTTTTACCGAAGTTAAATTAAAAGATTCGAACACCGGGTCGTCTCTAAAGAAAGTTTAGTTGGATTAAGTTGTACGTTTATTCGATCACAGAAAAAGAAACAAAGTCCTAAACATTAATCTAATTCACGATTTTGGCTTTGTTTGATCAACTACGAATTGTAGAAATACGGCTAGCTATTTCATACTCACAGCTCAAAACACAAATTCAAATAGTGAATAAAGGGGCTAGGGTATCGGGGCAATCGCTTCCGGTTTTCAATACATTTAACGAGAAATCAAGAGCTCGGTTAAATGACTCGACGAACTACTCATCTATAGATCTATCCTCAATAACTCTTCGTAACAAGAGGATCGACATAAACGAGTAATTCTTGAAACAATAACACTAGACAATACCATTACGAATAAGCCTATTCTTAATGAGCCTAGATCGAACGATTTCTCCCCTTTCGGTTCTAAAATCGATTAATTAGATAAGATGGTGATCAATCATCTAATCCTAGAACTAACATAACTCGAAAAGATTGACCAATTAACAAGCACATAAACGAAATCGAACCGAAACGATAATTCCCTAACCCTAGCTAACTAATTTAACTACTCATCACAAATTTAACATAAACATTCATATCAAACAAAGCCAAAGCATTCATAGATAAAATGAAAATCAAAACTTACGATTAATACGAAGGTTAAATGTCAAATCTCGAGTGCAAACAAAATCGGAAAATACCAATCTTGGAGATTTTACTCTCCAAGATGAATCCCTAAGAAAACTAAGTGAAATATGAATTCTCGAAGTGGAAAGTACGAACGAGAACAACTTAAAACCTAGAATGGAACGTCCCCCCACGATCTAAATTTTTTGCTATGAAAAGTTGGAATCGCGACCTCCGCGGCCGCGGAGCTTCCCGCGGGTCGTGGCGAAGAAAGCCTCCGCGGCCGCGACTTGCTCTGAGGCCGCGACAATTTTCGCTCTGAACCATCCCGCGGCCGCGACCTCTGGACTCGGAATTGAATTTTGTTTTCTCTTGTGTGATGCCAACGAACTCCTCTATTTGATTACGCTTGCCTGACTAATGT